GGGGACGTTATAATGTGACGGTCAATCCCACTATTCATTGGTAAAAGAGTAGCCTAAGAGTTGGCGGTGGGTGGTGATGACTAGCTGCCTTCCCTCTAGTCTTACACTGCTAAATTAGGGACGGCTAGCGCAGATATCCCTCGTGTAACTTTGCGCGAAATTCAAAACAAACAAACAAAGATGTGTTAAAATTTAACAAAAGTTTTAAATCGTGATTTTCATACGATGTTGTAACATCAAAATGATTTGTTAAAAGCCAGTTTTCGGGGTATTGTTTGTGTCATTTTATGCTAATATAAGGTATGTTATATATTATAGTTTAAAGATAATGCACGTGCAATATGCACATATGAATATGTTTTGTTTTATTTGAGTTTCGAATAGGTTTGCGGTCATATTTTCTAAAGTTATATTTACAAGTTCCATGTTTTGCTAAGTTATGAGAATGCTGTTAACAAGTGTAAAAAAAGGACCACTAATTCAAAGTTTTGAAGAAGGGGTGTTATAAGGTCGTTCTGCTTTTAACGAGTGCATAAACAGGGATTACTAATTAAAACCTTTGAAGGTGGGGTGAATACTCATAATGTCAACATTGCTAGAGATTGTTTTTAATTTTAAACAAAGTTTTAGCAATAGCGTATCTTAATGGCCAAATAAGATAAGAATGTGAATTGACCGAAATAACTAAACTTTATACATTTTGTCAAGTTTCAAAATGTTTCTGCAAATTACAATACTTAGATAATCTAATAAACTTTTTATTACCATTCGTGATATTGATATAGCTAACAGTATCAATAATATAATACGTGTTTCTACAAATCAAGATACAACAGCAATCTAATGACGTTTTCTCTTCAATCTGTAGGCTCAACAAGTGGACATGATGTCAGAATATCATAATTATTTCTTGACCTCTTTGGTGAGTTTGGTTTTATTTCTTCTTTTTTTGGGTTGTTGTTTTATTTCTGTTTAAACATTAAGCATAATATCAGAATAAAACAGCTGCGTTTCATCAATAAAATAATTACCATGATGAGTAATAATAAAGCTATTCATGATGATTCAATAATCACAGTATTGATGATTCAGTAATCACATTATTGATGATTCAGTAATCACAGTATTGATGATTCAGTAATCACAGTATTGATGATTCAGTAATCACAGTATTGATGATTCAATAATCACAGTATTGATGATTCAATAATCACAGTATTGATGATTCAATAATCACATTATTGATGATTCAATAATCACAGTATTGATGATTCAATAATCACAGTATTGATGATTCAATAATCACATTATTGATGATTCAGTAATCACAGTATTGATGATTCAATAATCACAGTATTGATGATTCAATAATCACTGTATTGATGACTCAATAATCACAGTATTGATGATTCAGTAATCACATTATTGATGATTCAGTAATCACAGTATTGATGATTCAGTAATCACAGTATTGATGATTCAGTAATCACAGTATTGATGATTCAATAATCACATTATTGATGATTCAATAATCACAGTATTGATGATTCAATAATCGCATTATTGATGATTCAGTAATCACATTATTGATGATTCATTATTGATGATTCAATAATCACAGTATTGATGATTCCGTAATCACATTATTGATGATTCAATAATCACATTTCTCTTCTAGTTGTAAATTGCATTTTTTAATGTTTCTTGTTTGTAAAATAAAATGCCTTGTTTATAGGTCAGTGAAGAAGATTAAGCAAATATAATTTGTTGTTTATTTTTACTGAATGCCTTGTTTATAGGTCAGTGAAGAAGATTAAAAAAAATATAATTTGTTGTTTATTTTTACACTTAAGGAAGTATAAAGAGTGGGATTGTAAAGGTATTTGTAGATATTTCTACATTTAGTAGTTCATGCAGCTCTTGGTGCTTGCTTTATTCATTATTAATTCTGATCATCTGCATTCTCTACTGAAGATTTCATCTTGACACCTTTCTAAAATCTTTTAGGATTTGCACACTGTCGACTTAGAAGACTTCCAATATGGTGGTACCAACATCACAGGGTTTAGACTGGTGGATGAAAAAGCACGCGAGTATCTTGACTTTCTTCGCAGTTGGAAAACAGAATACGATGGGGTGGATAACGGAAAAAGAAAACCTGCACTTAACGTAAGCAAATGATAGAAATATAAACAATTATAAATAAATTGAATCAAAGAAGAAAATGTTTGTAAGATCTGGAAAGGATGCAATGCCTTTAACGACTCACAAAAAAGGCTGTCGTTTGATCAATCGATGACAAAAAGAAAGGCTATATTTGTCATTACTCATCGTCGGAGAATTTAGCACTTACTCTGAAGATTTATTATGTCAATAGTTAGGTTCTTTGGCCTTTGTACTCACAGCTATTATATGTCATTACTCATCGTTGGAGAATTTAGCACTTACTCTGGAGATTTATTATATCAATAGTTAGCATTCTTTGGTCTTTGTACTCACAGCTATTATATGTCATTACTCATCGTTGGAGAATTTAGCACTTTCTCTGGAGATTTATTATAGTTAGCATTCTTTGGCCTTTGTACTCACAGCTATTATATGTCATTACTCATCGTTGGAGAATTTAGCGCTTACTCTGGAGATTTATTATAGTTAGCGTTCTTTGGCCTTTGTACTCACAGCTATTATATGTCATTACTCATCGTTGGAGAATTTAGCACTTACTCTGGAGATTTATTATAGTTAGCATTCTTTGGTCTTTGTACTCACAGCTATTATATGTCATTACTCATCGTTGGAGAATTTAGCACTTACTCTGGAGATTTATTATAGTTAGCGTTCTTTGGCCTTTGTACTCACAGCTATTATAAATATATGAGTGTGTTTTCTAATTCTTTTTACGTCTCAGGTTATGGTTTAGTGGTTAGTGTCCAGCTGTGGTTCGAGATGTGATGACATTGAGACCGCTCCGCACTCTCAGTTGTGAGCGCGTTATAAAGGTAGCAGTTAGTTTCTTTATTCGATTGAAAGAGCCGGATAAAGCCATTGTGGCTACGGGTACTGTTGACTAGCTGCCTTCCTTCTGGTCAGTAGTTCAAAATTAGGAACAGCTATGCCTAAACCTTACTGGTCTCTGACCTGTCCGTTTAGTCCATGCACAAATGAATTGCCGCGTAGGTTGAAAACAACTCGTTGTGTAACGAAAAACGATAATATATTAATATAAATTTACAACATATTATTTTCGGCGAAAAAGTTCCGTCAGTATATTATTAACAGTTTTTCGTCTTTTTTTTTGTAATTAGATGTTAATCTTACTCCATTTTGTGTGCGCAAATTTAAACATAATCCAATTATATTTTAATATATATATATATACATATGTTTCTTAGACTGACGTGGCGCTAATATACGACGCTGTGAAGCTTTTTTCTACTGCTCTTCATGACTTAGACGGAACCAGCCGAAAAATTGACATCCGTGAAATCTCATGTCAAGCTGAACAGCCATGGCCTCATGGAAATTCTATTGTTAACTACATGAGAATGGTAAATAAACTGAATTTTGTTATAAACTGTTTTCTCGATTAGAATTAAAGCGGATAGTTGACAGCATAAAAGGTTTCTTCATCGATAGAAAACTTATATTTTTGCAAGCTTTTTAGTGTCCTTTGTAAAGCCACCAAGCGTAGCTAACTAGTTACTTTCTTTAACAATTGTGTCTTATCATAAACCTTAATATTTTTATTACTCAATAAAAACTTTTAAGATTAAAAGTACTTATCCCCTCACTTCACCACCCAAAAGATGCCGCCTCACTCTGATTGGCTGCCTCAAGGACGGTGGTAAGGAGGAGGGGAGAACCATCAAAGATAAAAACATCATAGTTTCGCAAGCTTCCGCCAGGGGACGTGTTGCTATGTCGCCATGACAGGCGGCCATAATGGATGATTATGTAATAGTACCACAAAGTAGAGAACGTGTTTCTAGGTAGCCATGACAGGCAGTCATAATACAATGACTCATACAATACATGTCTCAACATGAATATAATTAATCATTCATTTATTAATTAAATAAATCATTTATAATTAACTCATCCTAAAAAGCGCAATATAATAATTAAAACTTATGTAATCAAGTGTTTAAAGATTTTCAGTGACATGAATATAGTAAAAAATTCTGGATACAATAATTCTTTTTTAATAATATATTTATTTTCTCACAATAAATATTTTGCAATCTGATCTACATAAAAAGACACATGTATTAAGGACGTATTTATATGAAAACGTTTTACAACAATATCTTGAACAAACATTTCATTACTATCTTTGTGGGATCCAAATTTAGACAGGAGTTTTCGTTTTGACACATGTTGACAATGATAATAAGCATAATATATACAATGCTGTTCACACACAGATGACTATGGTCCTTGCAGTACTTATTTGTTGTAACTCCACATTCGACATTTCTTCTTGATGATTTTTCTTACATTGATAGATTATGTGAAGGTAGTGCTAATGGATCAGAATATTCTTCTTCTTCATTTCAACCAAAATAAATATAGACTCAGTGACTACCATGTTTATGACTTGGATCCAGGTTGACGATGTATAATTGTTTTTCTGTATGATCAGGTAGCTTATCACTGGCAGGTACACCTCCAGAGTTTTTTCTCGTACACAAATTCTTGGAGAGTATCGAATAAATTTCTAATGTATTCATAGCTTCTTAGATATCTGTTATGATGTTTCTATAGTGACCAATTTCTAAAATTTACTGAAATTCTGCCTATGCTACAACATTTATAGTGTTATGTAAGGCACTACCAAACAGTAATTCAATTCGTAAATTTCCCTGTTTCACCAAGTTAAATTGAGAATCGCCAGAAGATAGCTCAGGTGTAAGATCAAGGGCAAAGACTGTATATCGTCCGAGTATTCATCATATCAATTCCTTGATCATGAAACTGTTTTCCAGTTCCACTAAATAATGTTTCATAGCTTCGTGCATACAGCTCAGCATCAAAATCTGGTTGTAAAGGTTGAGTGGGATCTATCTTCCATCCACGTTGATTGCCACGAAACTCATATTGTAATGTTTGAAATTGTATGGATTTTTCTTCCCAGATCCATTAAATGTATCGTTATCAACATATCCTATAACAAGAGGTGTAGACACTTGAACTAAAAATGCATTATCAATAGATGCTTATAAGTTTCTCTGGGAAATTGAAAACGATTTGTACATTATATATTTCAACGGATATTTAGCTGTTCCTTTCTGAAATGCTTTAGCGTGTGATAAAACGACGGATAGGCTGAACCGGATTTTTCTAGCATAGATAGAAATGTGTACAATGAAGTACAATTTTGAATCCCGATTCATCATTTGACAAAATAAAAAAATAATCTTTACTTCATATTAGTCGGAGTCTTAAACTTACACCATTAGGCAAGAACTTGTTCTGTAAAAAAGATATCTGAATCTAAACAAGTGATTGTGTCAACTGTTTGACTACCACGTGTAACTACTTTGATTCTGTTGCTCTCACCATGGTTAAAATCGAGACCGTCAAAATTACCTGCTGTATTTTTTATCCACATGGACGATGTTAAATGACTTCTCTTAGCTTCACCATTATAGCTCAGTGAAGTTCATATGTAGGCCTTATATGCATAAAGGTTGTGAGACAAACAAAAGTATCATTCAGGTGTACATCTACTTGAGGAAACAGGGAATGGAGTAACAAGTTGACAGGTGCAGGTGTATCTTCATCCTTTTTAGGTTGGTTCCATCAGGCTTGACATTCTTTGCCTTTACATGAAGATATGATTATTCATCTCCTGATCCCGAAATGTTATAGCAGAACGAACATCTCCTGATCCCGAAATGTTATAGCAGAACGAACATCT